ATAGAAAGTCATCGGACGCGTACATAAAAAGTGAATATTTTAATAAATAGGTAAATATATTAAATATATTATTATTTTAGTGACCCCACTCGACAGTTCCCGGGCCAAAGACTAGTAATGATTTTCTTTTATTTTTTTTATTTTTTAAAAGTAATTAACAATCTGTATCAATATTAGACACAATAAAGATAAACGATAAAGGTAAACGAGACATGAGGTTTTTGTTGAAAGGAGCCACCCATTTATGACACTTTCTGCTAGCTTGAATTATTTGAATTAATAGTAATGATTTAGATGAACAAAAGCAATTTTCTTTTTTCGTTAGCTGAAAAAAAAAATCAAGTGTGATAGACTGATCGTTACTATATATCGTTTCCCTATATGAGGTGGCTCCGAAACTGCAATTGATTTCGGAGATTAGCGTAAACGAACTTGGTGACACGAGCTTTATACAAATATAAATGAATGTTTCTTCCTTTCTTTTTTCGTCCTCTATGTACTTGGAATCTGCTGGCCTGTTCGCAATGAAGAGTTGTAGCTTCGCATTTTAATCAAAAGGCCCATAACAAATGAATGTGACTTTTCGGTTAAATGTTTTATTTGTAAGAGCCTTAAATTTATTACAATTATGATGAATCTTATTATATTATTTATTGATTATATTATTATATTAATTATTAACCTTAGTTATAACTAACTCAAAACAATTCATAAGTGTTATTGATTTGAAAGAATGTTGTCAATATTCCAACTTTAAATACTTGAAAAAAATATCTTGATAAATAATTATGTATTTTTATTGATATATTATGAACAAGTAATGAGGAATTTTTTTTATATTTTCAAAGTTTTTGACCAAGGAATGCAAATGTTATCATGTACAAAAAAAACTAATACCTATCAACATTTGGTAATAATTTCAAGTATCTACGATTATTCGTTTTTAAATTATATATACCAAAAACAATTTTTACAACTTCAACCTAGCCTAGCCGTTATTTTGATTTTGGGTAAAAATTCCTGTCTTCCTCAATTATTTTTTTTATTTTCTGTGAATATTTTTACCACGTACAAATACAATTTTGGTATTGGAAACCACACCCAAAGTTGAGAGTCTAAGTATTTTCATTGTAAAATTAATACATTCATCGCTTTACTCAGAATCTAGTAATTTAAAATTATTTATAAGACTGCAAAGAATTAAAATTACATAACAATTATTTACGGTCAAAATAAGGTTATGAACGAAATATTGTTCTAGAAACAAACAATGCGTTTTCAAATATAATGAAAAAACCTAAGTATATGTAAATTACGAACTCAACGCTTACGATGCAGTTAAAGAAATATGTAAATAATTATTTGACACATAAATAAAGTTGGTTAAACTAAATATGAGTTACGATATTTCTTTTAAATCTGTACACCGTACACGGACGATGTATGTATTGATATGCTTTGATTATCAACTTCAGTATCCTTCTGATGAGAAAGTGAAGCTTGTGTTTTAGATCAGAGATTCCCAAACTTTTTTTTGTACGACCATATTGTAAATTTTTTTAAATGTGTAGCAATAATATCAATGACCTCTTTTTTTGATGTTTGATGGATCAGTTTCTTACCAAAAAAAATTAATAGTAAAAACTACTATTTTTTTTTAATGTTTTTAGAGATTCTATTTTTCTTTCATAAAAATCGAGTGGTTTATTCTTCTTTTCTGGATGGTTCATATCAATATGCCGATGTACAGTCATCATCAGACTTTCATTTGCAAGGATACATCCACAAATAACACATTGTGCTCTTTTTCATCTCTGTTCCACGAAAATCTAATTTGCGAAAATTCAGAACAACACTTTCTGAATTTTTTTTTTTTGTTTTGACTGAGAAGAACTTGTTGAAGGTTCATTATAGTTCAATTTTTTTTTATCGGTTGACACAGATATTGTGTCTGTTTCCTCTTGACTTTGAGTCATTGACTTCTATTTAACCTTTTGTCTATAGTTGTGCAAACATTTTTTTATCGACATTAAATTAAAAAAACTAGTAAAAATTGAAAGTGAAAATCCGTTGAAAAATTGCATCACTTAAGGTGATTTTTGTAAAGTCACATCAAAAACCAAAATCGATTTTGTCGAAAGACAAATTTTTTTGTTTATTCTGTTGCTTTTCAAAACTACTGGGAATTCTTACTAATATTTCACAATTACATTCCTAGTGAACGATTAGTATCATTTGCGAGTTGTCTATACTTCAAATTCTACACATTTTAAAAACAAGGAAAAAATCTATTGAAATAATATAATGAAAATGCAATCTGATTATCTTCAAATAATTAGATAACAGCTTTATATATCTAGGTGAGAATGTGAAATAAAAAGGCACTGTGGATTTATTTTATCTAGATAAGATAAAAATAAAAATATTTTGAAAATTTGCACCTCGCATAACAGTTATTGAGTACTGAGTATTTACACTATTTACAGTAATTCAGGATTGTAGAAGTGTAGACTCGTGACGGTGGTGTATGAATTTACAAACATTTAAAACTACCAAATATTTAAAAGTATTTTATTTTTACTACGATGGACCCCCTCTTTCCATATAAAATGCACGTCTATGGATGTCAAAATACATCAACTGTGTATCGTCATTCAAAAAAATAATAAGCTTACGAAACTATAGCAACTGTTTTAATAGTTTTTGAAATAATAAATGTTTGCCTAATACTCCCCCAAAAAAATTGCCATTCAAAATAATGCCTCATAATTTATTACTTAAGTACATGAGTTAAAGGATAAAATGTAATTAATTATCTTTATTCAATAAAACAAATTGTATAAATGTTATAATTGCTGAATACGTCTGGGGTGTTAAGGGACCTTAATGTGACTAGTTTTTTTGCTCAAAAACATGCCTTCCTAGGAAAATTACAAGCCTCGTAGAGTGATCTGATTTTGATTTTATTTTTCAGAAAAAACTTCTTACACAGCTTATTGGACTTTAATTAAAAAAATTTTATTTCTAAACCATGTAATACGATTTTGAATTTTGTAAGATTTTGTTTTAGATTCTGAGCGGAGCTATGAATGTATTGATTTTAGAATGATGTGTGTTTTTTATTTTTTTNTGTGTTTTTTTTTTTTTTTTTTTTTTTTTTTTTTTTTTTTTGTGTCTGTCATCACTCATCACGGTTTGGGGTTCACCATAGGTTCACCATAAGTTGTTGTTAATGATAAATAAAAAACAAATTGAGCTTAAATCCACGATACATTTTTATGCGCTTGTGAATTTTAAATTTCGACAAAATTTGTAAAAATCACGAAAATTAGCAAATTATTTTGAGTTATAATTTCCTAAAAATGTTTCTTTTTTGTATCTAGCTAAATAATTGAATACAAGATTCCTTATAAATTTGTCTACCTTTATAAAAAAAAATAATTTCTACCGGAAAGTCAAATTAAATTTTTATAAACGTCTGAAGTAGACATCTTTACTACATTGAATATTCACTAGATTTGTCATGTAGCGACTTTCTTATTTTGTTGAAATTCAAAAACGAATAACTGTATAGGTACTTAATATTTACAATATAATGTTTATTTTATCAATTCATATACTTGATACAATTTTCAAAATATATTGACATGTTTTAAGTTGTTGTTGGATATTTTCAATTTTTAATTTTTTTAGTTTTTTTTATAAATGTAAATACAATTTTATTTGTTGGGTCAAAAAGCTTGAAAATTTAATACAAGGCTCCTGATATATTGTTTCAATATCAGTTGAAAAACATTAAAATATACACCGTTGTTTTTTTATAAGCACTTAAAGTTAAAATGTTGACAACATTTATCAAATTGAAAATTGAAAAATGATTTAGTAGTTAAAAATGTATAAAACTTTCAATTTGTTTAGCTAAGGATTGAAAATTTAAAACAAGCTTCCACTTAGGTAAAATGTATATTATCTAAATATTACCCCTTATAGCAATTTCCACAATAAAGAGGTATATGACATCTACAATTGTACAGCAGAACTGTTACCCACTTTCCCTCTTTTTATTCCTGGATCTCGTTTATACTGATATACATTTACCTACTAAAACAATAAGATTTAAGTCAAGGGTTAACCACTGTTTAGATCTTAAACTATTAACTAAGACAATAGTATTGTTTACAGTTTGAATACTGTTAATTGTTGAAATCTGTCTGATGATCTATTTTTCCATTTGAATATGCAATGATGTAAAATAATACTTGGCTGCAATAAGCCACCAAATAGAGGGCCATACAGAATTATGGATTTTATTACTAATAATTAGATGTGTTTTACGGTTAATTTTCAATATATTTATTTAGTTTCATGAACATATAAACTAAAACTTTTTTTGCCTCAATTTTAGAAAATAATAATACGGAAAATCTATTTAACGTGAATTGTAAATTATAAGTATAACATAAATATAAAATCCATGTGATAATTTCTTATTATAAATAATATTGCATTACTTATATATATAATATAATATAACAGTCGAATTCATATTATAGGATAACCAATCAGATATTTTATATTCTGAGAAGGGTTATTTTTTTTAAAAATTGTCAGTTCTTATAGCTAAAGATTGAAAATATAATACAAAGTATCGCATTCGTAGTTAATAGGTACGTTAACCATACGATCTAAAAAAATATTTTTAAGTTTAAATTTGAACAAAATTAAACTCCTGAACGACAAATTATATCTTCCTAATTTTGTTAAAATTTAAAAACATTATTATAATATAGGCTGGCTGAAAGATCATCACCTCTTAGAATCCATTATTATCCTATTTATTCGTATACATTGATATTAATGTGTTTTAAATATCATTGCATTATATATATTATAACGGTTTAATACATATTATAGCATAATCATTCAGTTATATTTTGTAAAGTGTGTAACTTATTTGTACACAAGTGAATATTGTTCCAGGTTCCTAAAAAAGTCAATAATACTGCTTGATGCATAACATAATCCTTTTATTCATTCCATTTACAATACACATAAGACATTTTAATTAAAAAGTAAGAAAATTAAAAATAGTGACTCATCTAGTAAGAGAAAATTTTCTCAACATTGTAGTAATATTGTTTATATTTATCACTCAATGATAATTCTACTCCTAATGGATACAGCTGTGTTACGTTCTTTGTTATAGCTTCAATTGTTTTCTTATCCTCCAACATACTTCTGTAATCTGGCTTAGGTATAATGTACACAAATGGCGGGTTAATACAATACTGAAAAACAATGAACGTAAAATTAAATTGTTAATAAATAACTAAAAAATTATCAAGTTAACTTACATCATTTAAATTTGTTCTATCAAATTCAAACTTCCTTTCATATCTAAATATCAACACTTTCGTGTGCAATTTATTTGACAGAGGTTTAGACTCTAAGGATGTCCGTAATAAAGACCAAATAAGGTTTAAAGCTCTGTGTGTTTTTTCTTCAAATATTTTATGATGATCAGACATAGTGTTCGACCGAAATTCATTGTCACTCGTTTGAACTGTAGACTTAGCAAACTAGATAAAATAATAATAAATTAATTACTTGCAAAAAAAAAAATGTCTTTAACAGTAGTAATTGAGGATAAAATAAATCAAATTTAGAAATTATTTCTTCATTATTTCGCTACCCAATATTTTTTATTTTGTAATAAGATTATAATGATTAACGATTAATTAATATTTGTTAGTCCCTTTACATTTAGTATTTACCTCACTGGAGAATGAACTATACATTTTATTTAACTTATTTTTGAAATTATCATTTAACAGAAAACGTTCAGCCCATCCAGTTAAAAACTCTGGGTCAGCTTCTAATAATGTTACAGTAACAAGAATTCCTTGAGATTCCAATATTTGAGCCATTTTTAGAGCAATCATTCCACCCCAAGATTCACCAATAATTGATACGGAACCTTGATTTGCAATACTTTTAAGTTTCTAAAGTTTAAACAAAAAAGATTACAGTATAAAACAAAGTAAATATTTTCGTGGACTGATAAGCATACATTCACAAAAGTTTCAGCTAAGTTATCGATCGATATCATGTCTTCAGGGTATTGTGCTTCAAAAACAGGATAAAAAAACTGTTTATAAAACGATTCGATGAGTTTTGGTTTTAATCCAGGTATGACAAACACTGGTGTTACAGACTTCAATTGTGATAACCTCGGACTTCTTGTAGTAACCTCTATAAATCCGGCTTCTTTTGTTATTTTATTATTTAGAAGAAGTAGTTCAATAACGGCATCAGGGAAAAAATTTTCAATCACATCGTTCATTTGGTAAGACCCTGAAATCAATTTTTTCACGAAACAACCTCAATAAATTCTGTATTGTATTAATATTAATATTTGTTATTACAATTTACTTTTGAAATATAAAAATAAAGTCACATTATAAATAATATAAAAATGAATAATTTTTATAGTTAAAAAAATAAATATGGAGAATTTATTAATTGTGTATTGCACATATTATTTTGTGCAAACAAGAATAAACTTATTTGATTGAAATATTTAGAAATTAAAACATTGGTTAACTTAATTCTTGCATTACTTTCCTGAGTTTAGAATACTCATTGAATCGTGAATTAAAGTTATCCATATGTGTTAATAATTAATAAATAAGTAAATATTAATTAGTAAATAATTACATTTTGATGTATTGTTGTTTTTCTTGGAGCATATAAATGAATGGGAATCTGAAGCGTTTGAGTTTTGAAGTAGAAAATCGAGGGAGGGCAATATTATTCCGGTATTTTTCGGTTCTGAAGACAGTCCGTCCCAAGTTATGTTTAACGCATTAAAACCTATTGATTTAAGTTCGGCACAAATGTGGTCCGCTTTACTTAATATACATATAAATGGAGTAGCAGTTATTTTATTCCTAAGCTCTTCGAAAGAATATCGTAGATTATTAATTTTTGTTTCGTCAAACTAAAAAAAAAAAAATCAATCAGTAAAAACAAAAATGTATTATGACAGAAAACAAAATTACCATACCTGATTCACTATAAATAATGCACCTAACTCTTTTGATGATGTCAAATAATTTAGCCAATTACTCGATTCTTCTTTAGTTTTTAAGTGTAAATCTGATTCGATTTGTACAGATACGTTTCGGGATATGAGCTTATCAAATCTAAAAAAAATATAACCATAATTGATATCATAAATAAAAAGTTAAAAATATATCAGATATCTATTCATAAAAGTATTTACGAACCTTCTACAAACAGTTGATGACATTAAGCACCTTTTCACAACGATTACGATTTTTTGAGCACCCCGTTCAGCCAACCATTCAGCGAGGTCCAGCCAATCTCCTCTATTTCCTGCAATATCGAACAACAAAATTATTAATACATTTAAATATACGAAATGATTAACGAATATTATAATTGATTGAATGAGTAAAACATATTTACCAACTATTAGGTATATTTTATCTGGATGACATTCATACGTGTTACATTCAACTCTTTCTTTTAATTTAGAACTATCTTCATTATTTTTATTATCGTTTATCGACAATACCACTTTTCCAGACGTAATCAATGCAGAGTTAGTTCTATATTAAACACGAATAAATAAAATTGTATAACTGCTTAGGTCGTGTAATTATTTACCTCATTATGTCAAACATGTTACTACTGCTCAATGACGTAGTTACAACATGGCTACGAAAAGGTTTTATCAAGCCTTTATGCAATCCATCCATAAATGCTTGTTGTACAATTTGTTTATTTTCAACACTTTCATTCAACAACGTATTTGAACCGACAGCAAAAAACGATATGTTATTCAGGAATATTCGAGTACCTTTGGAACACGACATTTATATTTTAAAAACTATATTCTTCGTACAATACAAGTAATAGGTTATACATAATGTCATAATGTAAGATTACCCAAATATCTCTGTTCTTTCATATCTGATTTTGAAAAATTGAAGAAATTTCCAAAATTAGCAAGTGCACCAAGAGCAGCATAAAATGATTTACCACTCAAAATGTTCAATATGCAATCTATACCCTTGGACTTGGTAATCATTTTTAGTTGAATATCAAATGTGTTCTTTTTATTTATAAGTATTCTTGATCTTGATAGCTGTAAATAAAATTGTATTTATTGTTGTTTGTTTATTATCACTATCATAATAACTTAATACCCCTGGGAAGATACAAGAAAGTCGATCAGCTTGTTGGTCCGAGTCCACAATGGCATAAGTCTCACATTTCATGTCTAAACTTATCGAAATAGCAGCTTGACCTATTGGATGCAACCCCGAGGTTACTAAAACAGTATTATTCTTTTTAAGCGTACTCAATACATTGAACACATAATAACTCTGAAAGATCGAAAACAGTAATTATATTTAGTCTGTCGTTAATTAATTAAAGGTTTAATCACCATAGCGTAAGCCAGAGGAACAGTGGTTGCTTCTTCTAATGACCATATCGATGGTACAGGCCATGATAATACAGGGTCATAAATCATTTGAGAAGATATTTCATTGATCGAGGTGATTCCCATTGTAGTTTTATCATCAATATGTCCCGAGTATTCCCATGGTCCAAATTTATTCTAATTCAAAAATAAAATATTTTATTTTTTAATAAATCATTTTTAATGTTAGATAATTACTTCTGTATTTTCTTCAACAACTAAATCTTTGAAATTTAACCCTAGATATTTTATTGTCAATTTATTTTTACTGAAAAACATTGAAAAAGTATTATAAAGTGAATAAATAATAAAATTAAATAAAAAATAAATTCAACTTACTGATTTTTAGGTACATTTTTAAATACTAGGTTTTCATTGACCTTCATATTGTCTTTTAAATCTTGAATAACAATTTTTTTGTAATAACCCCAATCGCCGTTATTATAGATATTAACTAATAAATTTTTCGATAGTTGAGTTGCATAAAATGATTTATTGGATTCAAATTCTGGCGCGTTTATATCCAAAATGAACAAAAATCTATTGAAAATAAAAGTATAAATATAATATTGTACTTTTGCATTCATATCAAAGTTCTGCGTAGTGCATTTACCTTAATTTATTTGATTTATACTTATTTAACATCTCTCTAACATAAGTCGTGATGCCTTCTAATGGATCAGACTTTAAAATTAAATAAATCTTCCCTGTTGATGAGCTAGATGTCTCTAATGATCTCCATATGCTGAAGTCGTAATTATCATTGGTTGGTTTAATAAATATGCTATTTTCTTCTAATGTTATTATCTAAAAAAATAATGATATTTGCATTATGTGTTGTTAAATAAGTCGTAGATTTACCTTTTTCATCAATGTTAAACAGTTGTTATCGTCGAATTCTTGCTGTGTAATTATTTTCCAGTCTTTGAGTTCTTGAAGTTTTTTTAAAGAACATACAATAATGAAACTATTTTTTTTATTGGCTAATGCTCTCGTTGTATCTTGCAAATAATTTACATTTGACACCGTGATAAAACTTCCAGAATCATCAAAGTCTGATACTTCCATAATATTTTCCCAGTTCATTATTTTACTCTAGTGGTTATATTTAAACGTATAATATAATAATAATTATTAGTTAAATATTTTTTACTTTATAATATATTACACTTACATTCATAGATAATTTGTTTTCCACTATTTCTTTGATTTCATTTGTACATACTTTAGCTATTGGATCGTCATAATGGTATGGACTACTAAGAATAATTTTTCCAGATGTTTCGATATTTAACTGATCAGTCTCCATAATTATATCAATAGAATCACGAACGAAATTACTGATGTTCTGGAAATGAATTACTGTAATTATTTAGATGATTTACAATGATAAATTAGGGTAGCAAAGTAGTTTTCCATTATTTACTTTTCATAATTTTCATTACTCTATTTTCTATTATAAGTGATTCTAATATTCAAAACTTAAAATTTAAATTTGCATGATGTTTCATACATAGTTTCCCTAATATAATATTTTGATTTAAAACGATAATCCAAATCTCATTTATATCTTTTTTTTTTTTTAGAAAATAAGGCTTCGACATCACAGGTCATTAGCCTAGCTTAGATTAAGAGTACAAGACAAAAAATAATATGGCTTAATGACTATGGAAAGGGTTTTTACATTGTTAAAGTTTGTTTATGAGGTGGATTTGAGTTAGAAAAGAGATAGTTTTAATAATATTATTTTCGTTTAGTGCTTCATCCATATTTGGTGGTATAGCTAGATTGTTTCTTGCGTCCCTGTACTTTGAGCAATCCTGGAAGATATGTTGTATTGAGAGGTCGGCGTGGCATTCGTCGCAGGTGGGAGGTGGGTTTTTGTTGATGAGAAAAGAGTGGGTTGTGAAGGATCTTTTATTATGCCATAATTTCACAATTTATCGTAATTACCTTATATCATAATATGTTATAATCATTATAATATGATTGAAAAATTAAAAATTTCAGAAGTGAGCAAGTTAATAACGAAAAATAACTTGAGTTACTTTAGTTAATAGTCAACAAATGATATATTTAATTGTAATGTTGGTACGGAGAAAATTTTTTTTATGAATATAAAAAATGTATTAGAGGTAAGTATAAGTCAGAGTGAATGTGCAACCTAAAGGTTCTTAGAATAAAATAAATACAAATTAAAAAAAATAAAATTGTATTGGTTATTTGGTTATTGCACAAATAAACTGCAATAATTTAGTCTACTTTAATAATTATAATAATAATAAAAAAAAAAACACTGCTGACCGATTGCAGATCCAACGAGGAAGAACGAAAAAAGTATAATATACCATTGAACCTGTAAGAGATTATCGGTCCCGACTGCCTACCAGAAAACATCATATCGTTCTTCAAGGCATTAAAATTAGGTAAAAGCATATAATAATTAAATAAGATAAGTCACTAATTTTGTACAAACTGTTCCTTTTTTTTTATCTCTCCCATTATAAGCATATATTTATAAGTATATAATTGTATAACACGCATAAGCTAATGGCTTATGCTGCCGAAGCTGTAACGATCAATAATAAAAAAAAAACATTCGTTATCAAATACATTCATTTTTTATAACCATAGAAATAGACGGATGATCATAAACATGATTTTAACACTACTTAGGAATAATTTTAGTTAAATTGGAAAAAGCTAAGTTATAAAAAAAAAAGATAAAAGATAACTATTTATGTTATTATAATTATAATTATAAGTAATAATGTAATCATATCAAATGGTTATTAATTGATTATATACTTAAATATTCACATACTTTGCATTTTAAGTAGTTGAATTTAGTAAAAGATTTTGCTTGCAATTTTACAACTGTAGATTTAAGTACGGGTAATGATATAGATCCGTTTTTGACACCTTTTATTTTAATTCCATCACAAGTTACTTCATTTGTTACTTTGTTGTAATTGACGTCTATATCTGTCAACAAAATTTAGTGTTATACCTACATAAACCATTTCTATAATCTTTGATGAATGATAAATGTTATTAGTGGTATTTTAATGTACCTTTCTCTAAATGACTTTCAAATAATGAAGGAATTATACACATTTCTCTTATATAAACTGGAATTTCTATAGTTTTTGTGCCTAAATGTTCTAAAAATGGAAACTTAAATAAACCCTCCAAAAAATAAATCCAATCATTGTCCCATTTTACGGAACCTTGGATTTTATTCTTAAAAATTTTGAAATTCTTAATGTTTTTGAATCCCAAATTGAATCTATTATTTTTCAAAATAGAATTTATCTCATTTTCCGATACATTGCCATAGAAGTCGTCTGGGGTTTGGTCTAAGTATACTGATTTTTCTTCAGTTGAACCTAAGGTTATATCATTTAAAAATTTTATTTCGCCTGATAAAATTAGCTCATCGTCAATACTGCACTCAAAAACACCAGATCCCAATTGAATCATTACATAACAATCAGAGGAATCTACAAAAAAAATTGAATTTTCATTGCATTTTAATATATTTGATAAAACAAATTTAGATATTATCTACCAGTTGGATGCATTTTGACATTATTTCTGAACCGAAGATTTTGAAATTGAATCGATTTTTCGTTTAAACTTATAGAGTTTATTTCAATGAATGTTTTCCAAACATTAAACTGAAAATTATAGTATAAAAAACATTATACATATCAATAAGATATTTTAGTATTTCTTTCTTACTAATATAACTGAAAATGGTATTATATGCTGTCCATGGATTTGGTATTTAACTAAATGTATGTCATCATTGAGCACTAATGAAAAAATGTGTTCACTTGATCGGTCATTCATCTAAAACAATATGGTATGTAAATTATTAATTTAGCACCATTTTTCTCTAGAAATTGGACTGTTGTGAAAAAAGTGAAGTTGTTTCCCGCAGCTTTTTGACGTTACTTAACATACACAATCCGCTATTTCCATAGACACAAATTTATGCATCTGTACTAAATCAAAAGCAATGATATCCCAATAATACGTAAATAAAAGATTTCAATTTATTTCCCAAAGCAAAAATAAAATTGTGGAAAAAGACAAACTATTCGCTAAAATAATATTTTTTATTTGAGAAGAATTTGTGTAGAATTTTAAATCCTGGTTAATATTACTTGCTTTTATATTACAGGTACTACATGTGAGTTTTTTTTTATTTAATTTTATAAATACCAAAAACCATATAAAACATTTTTAATTCTAAATTGGGTAAAATATCCTTTATTTACTTCTACTTAAAAATGTTCTGTATAAGATATATGAAATTTCAATAAAATGTTGAAGTAGTTAATATGTTGGTTAATTAACCAAAGTTATACTTACAGATGTTTGGAATAATTCAGACGATTTTTCAGTGTGGTCCCAAAACGGTAAACCGTAAATTGAAGGTGTTCCACGACTAACAGGATATTTTATCGTTGGATAAAGTTCTTTTATTTTGGGATTCAATCCGCTAATATACATTCTAAAATAAATGATTAAAACATAGAATAATAATTTCAAAAGAACAACTTATGGTTTACAAATTAACATAAACCATATAACATAAAACAGGCAGTTCACGGTGACTCACTTCCCAATAGAAGTAAGTAGGAATCGAACAGAATCTCCGTACATTCTCTTTGTCAGTGAAATATTGGTCACTGTTTCAGGTAATGCATTTTTTATAATTGCTTGAAGTAGGCCATGGGGTGCAATTTCAATGGTAATTGCGTCTTTTGGTATGTGTTTTAGAGCGTCTTCGAATAAAACACTACTCAATAGATTGTTTGTATGATATTCTGCAGAAGAATATTTTGCAAGTTCAGACCCCCATTCTGCTTCTGGCAACGAACTACTGATCCATTTAGAAGACCTTTTCTTTGGTACCTTGATCACCTATAAAAAAATTATACGTACATTGTTAAAATGAAAATAATATATTTAATTTAAATTTTGAACAAACATCTTTTAAATATTTAAGTTGAGTCGGGCCAGCGGATTGAATATATCTACTATGATATGCAATACCAGCAACGTTGACGGATTTTGCAAAGACACCTTCGGATTTTAATTGTGACACGAATGCATTGATGCTGTCAACTGGACCCGATATTGTACAGCTAGTGGAACTATTACGACAAGCGACGTCGATGTCATGAGGAAGTTTGTCTTTGATTTGGTCATGCCCAAGTCCTTAACAAAATATAAAAAAATAATAAAGTAATGCTACATTGGAGTTATATTCTGGGTATTACCGATGGCAGCCATCATTCCAGGAATAAAGTCTGTTTCAAGAGAAGCTCGACCTCTGGCGTAAGCAGCTAATATCATTTCTTCAGCTGTAAAACAACCATCTGCGTAGGCACATCCCAATTCTCCGACCGAGTGGCCTATGATCCCATCGGTTGTAATGTCTAATGCTCTCAACACTTCTACTAATCCGATCTAAAAAATATAAATATTTATACTTATCTTCCAAATATATTCAAGATTGGATCAACCCGAACCTGAACCGCAGCAATTCCGACAAACGAATTAAGAATGTTGTCAAAAAGTTTTGGATTTTGATCTGTTAGAATATTCTTGATTTCAACTCCTCGTGGTTTTAGTATAATATCACATTTGTTGATAGCATCAGCGAAAATTGGAAGTTTCATAAGATCTGTGCCCATTCCTTGCCATTGTGATCCCATACCAGAGAATATAAACCATACTGGACGTTTTAAACTAACATTCTTAAAATAAAATTTGTCATTAAAACGAAAATTCTATAATAGAATCTATAATAGATTTAATAGTATCGATACTAATTATTAGTATGCAAAATTAATTCACAATAATTGCAATGTTATTTACCCAAACATCATCTACTCGTGATTCATCCAGATTAGGGAAAATGCTAAAACTTCTAAAGAAATGGGCATTGATATTTCTAGTGAATATGTCATTAGTTAATGACACAAACTCAGCATTGTTTCCGTGACTTTTAATCTAATAATTATATAACTGAAATAATACACATATACCTAATATATTTTGGATTTAATTTATAAATACCTTGTCTAATGTCTCTTTAACATTTTCTTCATTTCGTCCTGATACTAGTATTAATCGTGGTATATTGGTAGAATTGTGGACGTCCACAATTTTATTATTAATGATATTATTTTTTTTAAGAATTACATGACTAAATGCATTTGGCAACCCAAATGAACTGATTCCGATGATATCTCCAACAAAAGGAGTTTTTTCAGTAATTACCTTAATAAAAAACATAATCTGTAATTTATATTTATCCTATGTATAAAGATAGTATTACCTCCTAATTTAGTAAAAAAATGTTTTCTACTGTACATACGGGATTATTGTGTATCAATTTTTCTTTTTTTATTAAAACAAATAGTAAAATAAAGATGATTATCTATACATACTTGAATTTTTCCATTTTTCAACGCTGCCACATTATTATTTCGTTCTGTGTAATTTATGTTTGGTGGTATGTATCCACTTTCCAGCGTAATGATGGCTTTTACAATTGACATAAAGTGACTAGACACTTCACAGTGACCTACGTTACTCTTCACGGAACCTACTTTTAACGGTGTTTTTCTATTTTCCGTACAAAACACTTCTTCCATAACATTTAATTCCATAGCATCTTCACTCTGTTAAATTAATGCTAAATTAAAATAAAATGTTAAGTATTGATATACACTTTTGGTTAATATCACCTTAATTCCTGATCCATAGGCTTCTATGAAATCTACTGTAGCAGGATCTATATTAGCTTCTTTATAAGTATCTAATAGTAATGATTTAAAGTGATTTCCATCATGGTCGGTTATTGTTCCATCATGATTACCAAATTGCACCGATTTTACATTCAACAATGTTCCATATGATCGCTTCGCTTCAGACGCCTTTTGAAGATACAAAACAATGCAAGCTTCTGATCTGTTGTACCCGTCAGCTACAAGAAAAAATTTAATTATTGTAGTTGATGATTATTCGATTGTAGACATATAGCCTTCAATTAATAATTATTATATTATCTGTATTTAATGGTAGGTTATTAGTTATTACTGTCATATTTATAGTAAAAAAGAAAAGCTAGAATAATATTTGGTTTTTTTATGATTTTTTTAAGAATATTTAATTAAATAATTAGGATTCGTAACTTGTATGATTATTCATAGCTTCAATTCGAGTTACACATGATATCATACCTCATATTTTTGTACAAAATACAGATTATTTTCCAATCATGCATACATTACAATACAATAAAAGTAATTGAGAAGGTAGGCCAACAATACCAAAATGATTTCAATTAAATTTTTTTTTTATTGCTCGCAAATCTACTGTTCTATAGAATATAAATACATCCAGCTTTTTAGAATAATTACCACTATATCAGTATACAAATGTAGCTTAACAGATATCTTGGTTAAGACTTTGAAATTTCAGCAAAATAAATAAATAAGAATTTGTGTATACAACTATTGGTTTTAAAGGTTTTACTGTACCTAATTATTCAAATTATTTCTATCCTCAGTTAAATTCCTGTACAAACCATTAGCAAGTTTTTGCACGGTAAAAATATTTATAATTGGTAAAATAAAGATCAATAATTAAATGAATGAGAATATTCCATAGAAATATATTTGAATACCTATTTTGGTCGAATATAGTTCACTATCATTGTCCAATTTGTATTCAACTCGACAAATTTGAAAACAAAAATATCAAATGTTCTAAACTTAATACTACTGTAGACTTTGTATGTATATGGTTATATTTAATAAAATAATTATCTAATTCATTTACTTTATATGTACATAATAATATTAAATAGTAAATATAATGCACTACTGCAAATAATCATAATATGTTTTAAACAAAATATGAACTAAGTACAAATGTATGTATTTTTAAATAAAGTTATTACGTATGTACACGTAGACAATTATTTCTGTTTATTAGTTATTCGGTTAATGTGGACAGTCGGATAATGATGATAAATATGTCACCGCCAAATGTGTCCTAATTAAGCGGATTCTACTGTATCTTGATTTTAGATATATTATAAAGTATGCCTAAGGGTACTTAATAATAGTTTTGTATGAGAATTTGAACAAATATATTATTAAGTCCAAATGCTGTGTACAACTTGGGGTTTTCTATCTCTATCTGAAGCTTGCTAATCACAATACAAGCTATTAATTATTTGGTACCTACTATCTATATAAATGAAATTTTTTCAATTTATTAAGTCATTGTATTACTTTTAATTCAATAAAACCAAATTTCCTAGTTAAATTATGCAATTCAATCCAAAATGTTTGAACTTTAATATCAAAAACTAGTTTAATGTAAAATTGGAATGCCTGTATGGAATATTAATATTATTTTTATTTTATTGTTTTAAAATATATATTTACCGTCTGAACTGAATGATTTAGTTTGATCACTTTTGGTTAATCTATTCAAACCTTGAGATTGAAATTGTAATTCAGGTCGAAGAGTCAGACTAGTAACCCCGACAATCGCAGATGATAATAAGCCATTTTCAATCATTTCTTTCGCTTTTTTCAAACCGTCTGAGCCACAAATCCATCCTCCGTCCATGGAAAAACTCGGTCCTAGATGTTATTCATTACACATTTTTAAAATAATTAAAAAAATTGCCTTATTTATTATGTTTAATGTTTTCTACCTGTTAAATTAAGAATGAAAGAAAGCCGGTTTGCTTGCATAGTTCTACTAACACCTAACATTGCAAATCCTATAGTATCATTACCCATGGTTAACGAGTCCTTTTCACTAATTTCAGATCCCATAAATACTCCTGTATTTGTTCCATGCAAGTCCGCTGGACTCAGACCGGCATCGATAATGGCTTCAATTGATCTTTCTAAGCATATTTTTGTCATTATATCCATAACTTTGGAAAGTTTTGGATGAACGCTGAAGAATGTGGCATCAAATTTATCAATATTTTTTATTTTTCCAGTTCCATTTATTTCACTTAGTTGATCTATAAGAAATATCATTTTTTAATTAAATAAAATTCAATATTGTAGTAACAAAAAAATAAATACCTGGTTTCCATCTCCTTGAATCAATTGTGACTCCATTTATTTTGTTGAATAACAAATCACTCAATTCAGTTATATTATTGCTTTCTGGAAAGCATCCTCCAATACCTGATATTACAACTTCTTCTTTATGTTCAGCCATTTTATTTACTGTTTTGTTATTTAACGCTAGTTAAAGTTCTAGAACAATTTCATAATTAAATTACACCATTGTAATGTAAGTCTAATTAGTCTATATTATAGAAATAATTTGATAATTGATAAATATTTCTTAATTGTATTGCGTACATAGCTAATTGAATATAAAGTTTATGATGAAATTCAAAAAGAAGAGACGAAATTGTATTAAATCGCTTTAGAATAGGTCATAGGCACTACACATAAGGCCATCTGATGAAAAAAGAACAACCAAGAACATGTCTTACATGCGGATATCCTGCCTCTACCAAACACATTATTACAGCATGTAGAGATATGCAAGAGGCTAGACAATAATACAACATACTTGAGCACCTTCACGATGCACTGGGCCCCGACAAAGAATCCATCCAAAATATATTCTTATTTATGAAAAAAATATTAAATTGTACAATTTAGTTTAAACTATTTAAGTACCTATACATCAGAAAAGCCAATGGTCAAGTCACCAAGGGCTTTCTTCTTTAATAAAAATAAAAAATACATTTTATACAACAATGTAATATTAAATATAAAAATATTATTCTTAAATAAAAACAGATATAATTGATTACAGAGGTCCTTGGCACTCCGTGCTGTTTATGGGATAGCGCTGCAGTAACATAATATGCGATGTATACAATAATACAATATACATGCATTCCTTATACTCACACGATACATAGAACATATTAACAATGCCCACGACAATCACCCCAACCATGTACGATCGAACGTTTCACGGAACGATACAAATGTTGCACCGTAAAACATAAAATCATAGACCCACCGAGATACCTTAACGTTTCGATCAACCGATACACACCAATTAGGAAGTGATTATACATCAGATCACACACTATAAAGGATCATACGAAATCGACTCATCAACAGTTTTTTCCACAAGAAGAGCCAATGCACAACGTCCACTTCAGTCTACATCACGATACACTTTTTTTATTATTCAAGAGAGTATTTGTCATTGTGTGAATAGGCGTAAATGTATATTGAAATAACTCAGCATTCGGTATAATATCACTTCAAAATTTGGGCAGGGGCAACTTCACGTAGCCCCCCCCCTCACACGTTATCCGATCCGTCTTGGATCGGTGCCAATATTTTGAAAATAGTTTGTAATAACATGCAAACTCAATTTTACAATTTGCAGATTTTTTTTTCGGATAATTTTACAAGTTTACTGTCAGAACCCTGATTTTGTTCGATCGATTCAAAAAACATGCTAGTGTTTTTAAAATACTCGTAAGTAAAAAATAGTAGTAAATAAAAAGTAGTTTAAATTAGCACACTACATACCTATATATCTGTATGCAGTTTAATACATAATTATTCATATTACATGTTTTTGTTGAACTCAACTTTTTTAGATTTTTTCATTCAATTAATTCTTTTTTATTCGACTTTTCTTTTATGCATTTTAGATTTTTTTATTTAAATTGAATTGTTATGCATTTCAGATTTTTTTATTCGACTTAACTTTTTTTTATTTGTCTTGTTTCATGAAAATATAATTTTTTTATTTAAATTAGATTTAAACCCTCAAAAAAAAAAATTTATTTGCAAATTGTAAAAGTAAGCTTGCAAAATTATTGCAAACTATTTGCAAAATATCGGCACCGGTCCGAGATCGATCGGATAATGTGGGGGGGGGGGCAACTTCACTGACATCGTGTATTCGTAATATATAAGTTATATCAATATGTATAAGGATCTTATCTATTGAGTTATTTTGTAACATTGCCCTGTTGACATATGGCCGCACGACTTCAAACGTTTCTGAGGGAATGTAATATGCAGTCCGATTTTCGTAAGAATCGCGAAAATTCGCAAATTATTTTGAGTCAGAAAATCAAAAATGGTTTTTTTTTACATTTAAGACTTTAAAATTGAAAATATGTTTCTTAAAAAAATGTTATACTTTTATCAGAAAAAAAAAGTTTTTCTATGATTATTTTATCTTCAAATTTGGGCGACATTACTTTATATTAAATAACCAAGACTAATGATTTAAGTTATTTTGTTTTAATTAAAAAATATTATTAGTGGGTACTTGAACCTTTTAGAGTTTATTATTATATTTTATACACACAATGACTTTTTAAATGTAATTTTGTTGGCAAAAATGAATTAAACTTACTATAGTACTAAATACTAATGTTTAAAAGTAAAATAAATTACTTTAACCACATTAATATCATCAAACAGGTATACTAAACATTTCTGTGGTCACGAAATTAAAAAAAATGTTTTCATATTTTGTTATTAATTAATTTAAAAGTATATGTTTTTTTTGTATTCATTTTAAATATGAGAAAATAGTTTGATCAAATCTCTAAATCTAAAATACATATGTTCAACTCGTTGGTCATTATGAAATTCAGTATGCAAAATCGATTAAGACTAAATAAATCGAAATTTCTTGCAGTTTTGGATATTTTATATACTAACTCTAATCATAGGAGTGCTATTAGACATGAAGAAAAATAAGTTACAAATAAAATAAAGTACTGTAAATTTGTTGTTTTCATTAAATAATCTTAGAAATATTCAATACAACAAAAAACTTACACCGTTTGAGTGTCAAAAATAAATTGTATTGAAAGGAAACTAGGCTTAAACATATTTTTGTCCGATGAAGATAAACTGGGAGTAATTTCTAATTTAGGAAAACACTTGAAACATGTATTATTTTGATTTGGCGAGTTAATTGAGCATCTGAATACAAAGAGTTGGCACGTTAATATATTAAATATATTATTATAAAAAACAGTTTTTGTTTCTGACATAAAAATATTAGTTTATTATAATTTACAAGCATAAACGATCTTTGAAACTTCAAGCTAGTCTAAAATAACTAGAGAGAGTAATTACTAATTAGTAACTACTAACTAGTGAAGACTATTTAAAGAAGAATTTGATGAAAAAATCATTCAACTAAAAAAATGTTTTTTTAAGAAAATAAATATGCAGAAATACCTTAATAATACATTCTTTGAACCAGAATTACTAATAGTGCAAATGATTTAATGAATTTATTTGCCATATTCTATTGCAAATCGACAAATTTCTTATGTTTATTTTTTTCAAAGAGCCAAAAAGTATTTACCGTAATCGCTACTATGTACCAAAGATGAAGTTGCCAAGAATATATCGCTCAAGTCTAGTCTATACATTTTCAAAACGTTTATAGCTAAAAAAAAACTGTGTAAGCATTATAATACATCATTGTTATGAAATAATAATTTTCCATACATTGTATTGACATCAAATATTTTTATTATTAACTGGAAATTGTAAAGGTTCAATAAAAAAAAAAAAAGCTGGTGAGTGGATGTCGCTCTGCTGTACTGTAGATTACAAGTGGGTCACTGTAATGGAAGGTGTTAAATTTTAATTCAATGATATTAAATCATTGTATACGAAAAACGATTCTGAGCGGAGACTGTTTGTCAGTCTAGGATATTTTGTATCATATTTTTATTGTTATTACTTATTATTAATACGGTGCCGGTAAGTTGAAATTTAAATTAATATTATCCTTCAATTATCAGTGATACCGGAAAAATTGGGCTGTTTTGAAACCAGTGCACACGGCGCCACTGAGCCGGAAATTAGATTATTGAGATGAATATTATATATTTAGAAATCTACTAGATCTACCATAATCACAAAAAGCCAGTTATGCAGTAACGTTTAATTTAGAGATGCAAAATTTTTATAAATGTAGTAAATTTTGATACTTTTGTTGTATTGCCATAGCCCATAAAGACACTTCCCGGAATTTTTCGATTTATATCTTTTTAAGGAGCATGTTATTAAATTTTAAATGACAAAAATCGTTATTATTTGTGTTAGAATGTGATTTTGTCAAAATTTGAACTTAAAATGAGTGTAAAATATAACTGTATTTATATATTTTTGGATTTTTTAATTACGGAAAAAACTACTCAAGTTGAAAATTGTTTTAAATTTTCAATCCTTAGCTATAAAAATGGAACATTTTTAAAATTTTTAACTACCTACAAAATCATTTTCAATTTTCAATTTAATAAATATAGTCAAAATTTGAACTTTAAATCCTTATAAAAAAAATCGTTTCTCGGTATTTTTAATATTTTTTAATTGCTATTGTAACAATACATCAAGAATCTTGAATTAAATTTTCATGCTTTTTGACAAAACCAATACAATTTTATTGACATTTATAGAACAAAAAATTTGAAAAAATTGAAAATTGAAAATGTCCGTCAAGGCTTCAACAGCTTAAAACAAGTCAAAATATTTTGAAATTGATATCAAGTTTATGGAATTGATGAAATAAACATATGGTGTAAATTTCAAGTTCCTACAGTTATTCGTTTTCGAATTACAACAAAATAGGAAAATCGATACATGAGAAATCGAGTGAATGGCTGTAAAAATATAACAATATCAACTTCAAATGCTCATAAAAATTTAATTTGACTTTCTGGTAAAATTTTCTTTGATTGAGATGGACAAACTTATAAGATATATTGTACTCAATATTGTAATCATAGATATAAAAAGAACGTTTTATGAATTTCTTACTCAAAATAATTTGCTAATAAATTTCAGTGATTTTTATGAATTTTGTCAAAATTCTAAATTCTAACGTACATAAAGATTTATTGTAGATTTATGCTCAATTTGTTTTTTAATTACCGCTAATAACAACTTATGATGAACCTTGTATTAAATTTTCAAGTTTTTCGACCGGGCGAAAATTTTTTTATTTACATTATAGTTAAAAAAAAAACAAATAATAATCGTTAATTTCATATGCCTATACATAGTTCAATACGAGTCAAAATATTTTGAAAATTGTATGGTGCTATAGAAAATGCTAACACAAACACTAATAATTTCAATTCGAAAACCGGTTTTGCGTAAAAATTCCCGTTTCCCTTAATGTTTTGTTTGTTTTTCTTGTCGCTTTTTAAAACTATTGGAATTTTAAATTTTGACCTCCCAAATTCATCAACTAGATTCACTTTCCTACCAGAAAAATTGCTGTTGAATTAAATCGAAGCACTTTCACTGCCCCAAACCGTGACGACAGACACAAAAGTAGAAAAATAAATAAATAATAACACACCATTGTAAAATCAATAAATTCATCGCTCCACTCAGAATCTAAATAAGACATAGACATTTAAGGTTTATAAAAAATATTTTAACAGCATTGTGACTTTTCGACGTATTTTTGCAGCCAGCACATGCATAAAACATTAACAAATATAATTATGATATTTTTTTGAAGTTTTGAACACTCTAATATAGCCAAAAAAAGTAAGGAAAAGAAGAAAAAAGACATTAAAAAATACAATAAATTAAATGTTTTGTTCTTAAGACTCCACCTAAATGCAATAATATTAGGTATATGTCAAATCATTACCTGAGTTTAAATTAATTGCAGTGGATCCGTTTTTTGCAGCTTTCAACAACTCGAAATAAATCACACTGACTTTTGGATCCAAAAGTAGGGTTGTATTTATTGAATGAAAAATGTCCTTAGTATTGTACTAAGTGAACAGACCATTTGTTGATCATCTCATTAATTAGTTTCATAAAAAATCATACACAAAGGTTAGTATGCAAATGATTTACTCTACTTACCGAGTACCTATACATACGCCTTATTGTTCTAGTGACATATAAACACATAACTGCAAAACAATGCAATATTTTTAAAAAGTAAAATCAAACGTCAACATGACGTCTGCAGTTTATTATTCATAAGAATTCAAAACATTCAAGGTATCGATAATGTAGTGTGATCAACATTTTCCGAGAATCCTCTGAAATTTTAAAATTAGTAGGTACATTTCATAAACATAGATTTTAAAATTTTAAACAAAAATAATCAAATCAACCCTTCAAGTTTGATATTTGTGTAGAGATACTAATCATTTTCAGAAAATTAGTAATTGGCTTTCATATAATTAAGTCTGATGGAATTCAGAATTTCAGAAACCTATAGTTTTTTAATTGTATTATGTTTATCACAATGCGTCATACTTTGCTCACTTTGACAAAGTTGATTAAGTGTTGTGTGCTTCTTAATTTTTAACATATTATTAAGAAATTTAACTTTGTCTGTAATTTATTTTTATTTTATAACTCCACAATATTTTATTCCAAGGTTTTCGATTTACTGTTACTCGGTGCCATCAGCAATTATCAGTGATATTCAAAGAATTTGTAATGAGTGTTAGTTTTTAGACAGAGTTGTAACATTACTTAACTTAAAAGCATTTAGAAGTTTGAGTAAAAAGCTATTTTTTATGGGATGAATTCCGTAAGCAATTAAAATATAGAATGAAAGTTAAAAAAGAGAGAGAAGTGGGAAGCCGTTGTCGCCAAATAGTAATGTATGCTAAGTGACTATACGAAAATACTTTTATCATGAATGCATGGTTAGGTACTGTTGATAGATGTAAGTAGTAATGTATTTATTTTAGTATGTAGATAATAGATCTATGAAAATTATTTTTAATTATTTAATAGATGATTTCTCAGTTACCTATAAATAATTATAATACATGAGACATATCTATATATGAAATGTAAAGCTATAAACGCAATTTATATGGGGGCAGAGGGGTTCATTAGTGCCCGTCCAGTTTTGAAATGCACACCCTAATATGTTATTCCACTTGTGGATTAGCTGAACAAAATAAGGAGCATCAGTGCACCTACAGTATTTTTTTATTGAAATTGTGTCACTCTGTATATAGCTATGTAGTATATAAGTATATAACACAAAAATGTTGCTCGTAATAAAAAACAACTAGAGAAATACTTTGTTGTATAGCAGTTTTTAAGTGTATCTTTTCATTGAGTGTGTCATAGTGCAAAGCTGAAATTTAGTGTTAAATTTAATGATAAATCAATATGAATACGAAAAAGGATTCCAAACAGAGATACTGGTTCAGAATCTGTTTCTAAGAATATTCACCAGATTATTGATGTTCTAACATATCAATAGTTTTACTTTTACACATGCTAAGGAAGAGTAGGCCAACTTCATGTAGCCCGCCCACTTCACTTTATTTTGTCGAGATTAGTGTCAATAGCTTTTTTTTTAATTTTCGAGAATTTGCGAGTCACCCAAACCTCAGATATGAGGTCTACCCATTTCACCCAATCACGGTAAAAAATCAGACCACACGTGACATTAAGACCAACAAGGTGACAATAAGACCCAGCAGTCTTATTGGCACAAGTGTTTGTAAAATTAAATTGGAACACAAATTAAGACCAAAAGTGAATAAAGGGTGACAATAAGACCACTTGGTACACTACTGTATATATTTTTTCGCATTTAAAATATAATTATTTTTATTATAAATATGATTTATATTAAAAAAAACAAACCTTTTTTAGCATTGAAAGTGAATCCGAACTTGTTGTCTTGATATTTACGGTTCTTTTAATTAACTTTTTGGTTCAAACATTCTTGACTGATTTTTAAATCTGACGAATTTTCGTCGATTCCAATTAAATCCATTATTTTTAGACTCTGATAAATTTTTGATTTTACAATGATGTATGTATTTTTAAATATTTTTGGTATGTGTCATCACGGTTTGGGGCAGTAAAAGTGCTTTTATTTTCTTCAATAGCAATTTTTCTGGTAGGAAAGTGAACCTAGTTGGTGCACTCTGGAGGTCCTAATTCAATATTCTCTATAGTTCTCAAAAGCTACAGGGAAAACAAACAAAGGAAAAGCGATTAGCGATTTACGCTAAACCTGTTTTCAGTACCCAGTTTAGTGTACCTCTAAAAAAAATGACCTCAATTACATGAAATTTTCACTGAATATTTGTGTAAGAATTGTTTATACGCCATAACATTTTCAAAATATTTTGACTTACGTCTTGAATTATTTATAGGAATATGAAATTATCGATTATAATTTTTTTTTTAAACTTAAGTCGTTAAAACATTTTTCTCTGGATCAAAAAACTTGAAAATGTTATACAAGGTTCCTCTTAAGTTCAAAAAAAATGTCTACCGGGAAGTCAAATTAAAGTGATATGAGCGTTTGAATTTTAAATTTTTACAACATTTGATATTCACTCGATTTCTCATGTAGGTTGCGATTTTCTTATTTTGTTGTAACTCAAATACGAATAACTGCAGACATTTGAAATTTATACCATTATATGTTTATTTCATCAATTCATATAATTGACAACATTTACAAAATATTTTGACTCAACGTGTTGACGAACATTTTCAATTTTCGTTTTATTTCTATATATATAAATACAATTGCACTCGTTGGGTCAAAAAGTATGAACATTTAGTACAAGACTCTTATATGTTGTTACAATAGTAGTTGAAAAATATTAAAAATACATTGGCACGTTTTTGTTTTATAATCATTTAAAGTTAAAATGTTACATAATTTATCAAATTGAAAATTTAAAACTGATTTTTTAGTTACACATTTATTAAATGTTCTACTTTTATACCTAAGGATTTAAAATTTAAATCAAGGTTCTATGTAAATAATTAATTCGGTAACAAAAAATCTAAAAATAAACATTAACACAGCTTTTTTTTTATAGTTATTTTAAGTTAAAATTTAAACGAAATCACATATTTACTCAAAAAATAACGATTTTAGTTATTTTGTTGAAATTCGGGATCAAAGCATTTATTTAAAAAAATAATTATATACTTACATTTTTGTGCCAACGTCACTATAATGTTTGACATTATCAAGTTTAATATGTTGGTAGTAGTGTAACGCATTAAAAATGTCATGTTTATTTTATATATTACTTTATTACCCTTGTATATATATTTTATTATATTCAACCTAAGCTTATTAATTGTTGTTACATTATTTTCATTACATTCTAATTTTTAATTTATTGCTTCAAATTCACTGCTTAAATATTTAACAATCTAAAATTTCAAACTTATTAGAACTACTTCTCCGAAACCATGTATGACTTAAAGAAAATGTGCAAAAATTATAGATTGTACTATGTTACTACGTGAATCTATATGTTTTTGCAAAAAATATTTTTAAAAAATTAAGCTAATTAAATGTTGAATAGCGGCGCCAAATATGATTACCCCAAGGTGGTACAGATAGTCAGCATGGCCCTACTTCTAATATTATAATTACTACCTATAGTGATAATCAGTGGTGAAGTGTCATAGGAGACAAAGAGACAACGTCTTCCCACTTAGAAATTAGAACACGGGACTAACAAATAATTATTTTGTTTTATTCAATATTAGAAAATGTGAATTTTATTTTATTTTATAAAATATATGATGCATATGTTTCAGTATTTGTTAACACTTAAAATCGGTTTTTCGTTGTAGTGTTGATGTGTTGTACAGTTATGGATTTCTTAAAATTGATTAGAAACGCGCGATACGACCGTGCGTACGAGCTGGCGATACGGGTCATTCCAAATATGGTATTATATTATCTAATAGACGTTGCAACGCAAAGTCTCACAAACATGGGCGCGCTGGTACAGGGGGAATGTTAATCAGAGTAGAGTTTACTCACAGGTGGAGATCGGGGGGGGGGGGCTTACGGGGGCTTAGTCCCCCTAAAATAAATGATTTGAAGTTAAAGACCCCCTAAGAATATTAAACAAACAATACTTTTACAATAATTTTGTACAGTTTGCAGAACTTTTTTCATTATTTTATATTCTTATATCCACAATTATATAAGTGTACCTAGTACATTACATACACACTATTTACCAATTTATTATTTACGGTAACATACCAAACAATTAAGTCACAATAATTCACAATAATATTATATTGTGTTTATATACCTAATATTGTACATGTTTTGTACCAATTGGCCATCTACATTGAATAACGTTATTAAACCATTCTATTTTAGATGGGAAAAATATTATTTCTTTTCCTAATTTTAGGATATAGTAGTATAATTTAATATTATAGGACTATCGCTATAGCTGTATTAAACCTATCGTAAAGTTTATCGCGATTGAATGAATCGTTAACCGTATTGACCATTTTATACTAAATTATACATATTTTACTTATTGTTTGATGTTCTTGGGAATACATTTCTTTTGAGATTGTCATTTAGATTTTTAATAAATAATTTAGTTCAAATATGTTTGAAATATTTAAATTTAAATCGTTTATTAATTATTCTTTTTTTTATGTTTGTAACTATTTAAGTTGTTATGATAAAGAGTCAACGAGAACAATTTTTTATGAGTGATCTGATGTAAAAATTAGTTTGTTGGGGGTGTGGGGGCAATGCCCCCACGGGTCTGTCATCAAATATTTGAGCCCCCTTAATATTTCACAAGATCTCCGCCTATGAGTTTACTATGTATGCTATGAGACACGTCTCGCCGTTCGTAATTACCACAATCCTCAATATTTATTATCGACGTCGCCGTCGCGATCGAGCCGAGCCATCGGATATAATATACCTAGTAATATTCTTTTCTTATTCGTATCTATATAGTGAGCAATAATAATAATAGTATAATACGT